TCTGTTTCAGAGATAAATTGTGAGAGATGTGACATCAGTAAGGATGAATTTGAATTGAGACCTCAATCATCAGATTTTCGTAAATACATCAGTTACTTCTTGTCTGATGTCCCAGATGAAAGTTGTGCGAAGGGTGGCAGAGCCTCTTATTTCGACGTGAGTTATATTACAGATAGATAACAGGAAAAAAGGGCTTTGATAAAAACTTGCATAATACATTTTTTCGTGGTATTCATCAGGGAATTACTTATACGTATGATCAATATGGAAAGATTGATGTTGGAGATTCTTATTTTATGAGTTACCACACACCCCTCAAGAAGCAATCAGACTGGTACAGAGCACTTTATTCAGCTAGAGTGGTTGCTGATAATATAACAACTATGATTAATAATTATAAATTCACCGACACCCCCATCAGTGTTTTTCCATACAGGTAAAATGAGGAGTAATCCTAAAATGTGAAGACCCATAATTGTTTCACTGTATAAATTTTTTATAATTTTTTTAAGACAAACTGTTACCTCATCATTGTTTTCAGTGTTTTTTACGTTTTTTATGAACAATATTTGACGATTTGGAAAGAGACGATGATATCATTGGGGTTGTCTCTTGGAATTGTCTCGCTTGTCACTTACGTTTTAACTGGATTTTCCCTTTTCTCTGCTGGAATGGTTTTTATTACGGTGACTATGATAATTATTAATATGCTCGGCCTCATGTACTGGTGGAATATCAGTCTCAATGCTGTCTCACTTGTCAATTTAGTTATGGTATGTTATCGATTAATTTTTCAAAATCTTTGGTATAGTTAATTTTTGAGGAATAATTTATCCAGTGATTTTTTTTTCCTGTGATATTTCAGGCTGTGGGAATTTCGGTTGAGTTTTGCAGTCATCTTCTGCATTCTTATCTGAGTTCGAAGGAAAAAAAAAGTCTTGATAAAGCCGCCGATGCGTTATCGGTGATGGGGAGCTCTGTGAGTGATTATCGTTTATTATTTTATAATCTTTGTGCGAATCGATATTTCTCCTTTCTGTTCCAGGTGTTTTCGGGGATTACACTTACGAAATTGGTGGGGATAATCATCCTGGCATTTGCGAAGACAAAAATATTTCAAATATTTTACTTCAGAATGTATCTTGGAATTTTAATCATAGGAGCTACACACGGCCTTATATTCTTACCCGTTGCCTTGAGATTTTTTGGTTCGCCAACGATATTTAATCTAATTGAATTCGCGCATCATCAAATAATTAATTAAATTTTTTTCTCCTATTTTCAGGTCCAATAGGAACAGAAAATACATCTCCAGAGAATGGAAGATCGAAAAAATCGGGCCCTAATTGATTTTTTTTTATTCAATTGAACATGTAAATAGTTTGTAAGGAAATATTTTTTTAAGCTATTAGATATTATATTTAATTACCAAGGAATGAGGAATTACCAGGAATAATGGGACAAAAAACTTCAAGTGCACGGAACGTTTATTAAATCGTACTTGCCGAATACAAGATGTGTCTGAATAAGATACTGCGTTGGGAGGAAATCAAATAAAAAAGATCATACGACAAAACGAAAAGTTGGAATGAAAATGACTAAGCATTAATTCTATCAGTACTATCAATTTCTTCGCATATTTTCACCCATTCAATGATTGAAATTTTAGAATCCACCTCTGAGACGAAGAACCAAGTGAAGGGTCGATTCTTTTTGAATGTTGTAGTCTGAGAGAGTTCTGCCATCCTCCAGTTGTTTACCAGCGAAGATCAAACGTTGCTGATCAGGAGGGATGCCCTCCTTATCCTGGATCTTGGCCTTGACATTTTCAATAGTATCAGAGGCCTCTACTTCAAGTGTGATGGTCTTTCCAGTCAGAGTCTTGACAAAAATCTGCATTCCACCCCTGAGACGAAGAACCAAATGGAGAGTGGACTCTTTCTGGATATTGTAGTCCGAAAGAGTTCTTCCATCCTCCAATTGTTTACCAGCGAAGATCAAACGCTGCTGGTCTGGTGGAATGCCTTCTTTGTCCTGTATCTTGGCTTTGACATTTTCAATTGTGTCAGAGGCTTCAACTTCGAGGGTGATCGTCTTTCCTGTAAGTGTCTTTACGAATATCTGCATGCCTCCTCGAAGACGGAGAACGAGGTGGAGGGTGGATTCTTTTTGAATATTGTAATCGGAAAGAGTTCTTCCATCCTCCAATTGTTTACCGGCAAAGATCAAACGCTGTTGATCTGGTGGGATACCTTCTTTATCTTGAATCTTAGCTTTAACATTTTCGATGGTGTCAGATGCCTCAACCTCCAGTGTAATGGTTTTGCCAGTCAGAGTCTTTACGAATATTTGCATTCCACCACGAAGACGTAGGACCAAGTGAAGAGTAGATTCCTTTTGAATATTGTAATCTGAAAGAGTTCTTCCATCCTCCAATTGTTTACCAGCGAAGATAAGACGTTGCTGGTCTGGAGGAATTCCCTCTTTGTCCTGGATCTTGGCCTTGACATTTTCAATGGTGTCAGAAGCCTCGACCTCCAGGGTGATGGTTTTGCCAGTCAGAGTCTTTACGAATATTTGCATTCCACCACGAAGACGTAGAACCAAGTGAAGAGTCGATTCCTTTTGAATGTTGTAATCTGAAAGAGTTCTGCCATCCTCAAGCTGCTTACCAGCGAAGATAAGACGTTGCTGGTCTGGAGGAATTCCCTCTTTGTCCTGGATCTTGGCCTTGACATTTTCAATGGTATCAGAAGCCTCGACTTCCAA